GTAGAAAATGTCCTGGTACCTTCTGCACCTTGTTTGCTCCCCATCAGTCACCATTTTCTGTCTCCTGTCCCAGTCCTGAAGCTGGACTGTGTCCTTTCATCAGTCCTCCTGAGGTTTAATACTCAAAGACAGCAAATCTGACAGGATAAACTATATCTCCATTCAGCTTTGAATACGCAGCTATTAAACACCAGAAATTTGACAATAATGAATCTCAAATCTCAAAACCTTATTCTGCTTCTGTTCAAATTTTCTTTGTAAATAACAGGACAGAATACAGAAAAAAAAAATCTGAATTAATTTCCATCAGACCTTTGCTACACATTAAAGCCTAATTGAAAAAATAAAAATAAAATAACCTGAAGACTCACATCCTCTTTATGAGACTGGAAATCCTCATGATTTTAGCTCACAGTTATAAATCTAAAGAGGTCTAAATAATTGAGTATTAAATAGCAGAAATGTCTGTTTTGGAGCCAGAAGAGGCTCCATGTTTCCATGATGCAGCCAGGCAGCATCAAAACCTTCATTTACCATTTTCCCTGAACCTCCACATCATCTGGAAGACATTCTGTTCAGATTACAGGATTCACACGTGGATCTGAACTGATTCATTTGATCATTTTTAATCTCCATCAGAGGTGGGAGCAGAGCTTTGAGGCCAGTGCGGGACGCTGGGTGTCCTCTGTCTTTCTAAAGACATACGATGGATTTCCATCCCATTCCCTCCTCATCACATCCACCAAACCTCACTATTCTGACCTGCTTTCTCTGCTTTCATGCTCTGATCCTCACCTCTTGTGAGAGAACACTGCCACCTGCTGTTCGAATGACAGAACAGCGTCTGTGCTGCTCACAGCTTTAAAGCTGCACGTTTGTTCACATTTTGTAAGGGCAGGTAGATCCTTGTGTTTAACCATCTCTGGTTGGGGAACACATCACCGGCTTACTTTAAACACACATTTTGTTTTTATATCCGTCCCTTTGTATAGAAGCTTTAAAAAGCTTTCTTCCTTTGTGTCTCATATCACAGTGTCAAACTATTTATTTTTTTCTTAATGTGGTGCAGAAAAACATGCAGGGTTTTTGAAAGGGTTCACAGAAAATGTAGCCTTTTTAAGTCTTCTCACATCCTCAGCTGGATTTAGATCTGGACTTTGGCTGGATTTTTGAAAACATGCTCTCCACTTATAAAAAATAAAAGCACGTGCACAATCCTGTAACCGATAGGGAACGGCTATTAAACGTGTGCAAGAGCGTGCACGAGCCCATTTCTTCTCGTGCACACTCTGTTTTAAAGTTGCTGTTTGCATCGCTCATACAAGCTAACTTTCCAAAAGAAGATTTGCAATTTTTCCCCTATGTCAGACTCACCACCGTTAAGTGAAAATGGGGACGAGCACGTAGGACGGCCTTATGTAAACGTATCACCAGAATGATTGACAAGTAATAGGACTAATTATTTTGACGATCCAGCCAGAAAAAGAACATCCTCCGCTATACCTTTAAGAATTCATGGAGGTTTCTGTTTGTAACGAAAGAAAATCTGAAAACTTTCCTTTAGTAAAGCCGTCTATGGATTGTGCTCTTCTGCTTCCTCCTGGTCACTCTGCTCCTCTGTGTTGCCTTTTAGACCCGGCGGTGTCTTTGAAGGGACTCGGTCGGGCTTTGATCCCTGAGCTCGCTGTGGACCAGCAGCCAGTGATGGCGGCCACCACCACCTCCTGCAACCTGGACACTGAGAGCACGGCTCTTTGAGGATGAGATGATGACATCACGGGTCCAGTTGTCCACCACGCCCTTTTTCTCTACAGCTAAGATCCTCATCTAAAGCATGAACGAGTTCTTTCTGGATGAAGGATATGTGTATAACACTGCCCCCTGCTGGCTACTGTCATGGAGGAACCCTTGAAGCCAAAGTTTCTGTTTCCACACACTGATGTGATGTCAGCAGGTTAAGATGGTTGTTTCCACCCCTGCCCACACACAGAGCGCCATCTTTGTTTTCCAAGGGCAGAACCTTCTGAATTAGCTTAAGACACTGCAACCAGCATTAGAGCGTTTGGATTGAGCTGACGAGACTTCCTGTTTGTCGTGTTTTTTTTTTTAAACCTGTTTTATATAAACAGTGGCCTTAGAACAAGAAGGTGATGGTGTGGTTCTGCAGCACGGAGCAGGAAACGAGATGACTGCTGGTTTTCAGTCATCGCCTCTTTCCCCCCCTCCCTCCGTTTCCCTCATGTTTGTATTTATTTCCCGGGTTCAGAACACACATTCCTTCTTTTCTTGCCATGATGCAGTTCAGTGTAGCTCCTGCCTTATTGGTTCCTGACAGAACCACATTTGATAATTACTGTAGCGCTTAGGAATTCTCACAGTCGGCCTTCAGGGACATGAGGACAGTGGTTCGATCCCCTCAGCAGAAGTCGAAATATTCTGGTTGTATTTACGTGTTTTGGGTTTTCTGAGCGGAAAAAGTTGGGTTAACCCCCAGATGTCAGTATTGTCGCCCTCTGGTTCTGCTGGTCTGCGTCAGAGTGAATGTAGAGAACAAGCCGGTTCTGACCAGCCCAGAAGCTGCTGCTGGAGAACAGGCGGTTCTTCTTCTCCTGCCTTCCCCTCTGAGCTGAGAGGAGCAATCTCAGTAATGATGCAGGGTTAGACTTCATCAGATCAGAACCTCTTTTTAATTTTTTATTTCTTTGCCGCATTGAGTATGTGTGAATGCCTTGGTTAGTTTGGGCTCAGACAGAATTCTGTTCTGAGAGAACCGACCCGTTATGGTACATGAAGAGAAGGCATGGACTCTGCAGCTGCTCTGCTTTCTCTCCTGTACCTCCATGCCTTATCCTTCTGCATCCTGCAGGCTTAATTATTCTCTTTCAGGCAGACACCGTTAAACTGTTGATAATAAAGCTAAAGTTTTGAGCTCTAAGGTTTTGGATTGATGCTGTCTGAGCTTAAATATGGAAGAAATCCTGTAATATGAAAGCTTCCCAAATAAATAAAGTATATAAAGATTAAAAATGCGGTTGTGTTGTGATTGATGTGAGATCTAGATGTTCCAGAGTCAACAAGTTTATCAGATGGAAAGGACCAGAGGTAAAATAAAACCTGCTTCCATTGATCAAGGGAAATATTAACTGCTGAAGCATCTCAGAAAGAGATCAAAAAGAACATTAAGGCTCCTCAAAACCCTGAAGAAAGTCCAGCTACCAGTTTCAGACCTTTAGCTAAAATTTGCTCAGGTTCTGGAGCAGAACAAGGATCCAAAGCCAACCAAGGTTTTCATCTGAGTGGCTAAAAAAAGACTAGTGAAGGTTTCAGAGTGGCCTAGTCAAAGTCTGTTGCTGTTTTCTTTCTTTCAATGTCTGAATTTAATCAGTTCTTTAGAGTGGATTTGATCAAAATTCCTTGTTATTTTGGGCCAAGGTTTAGTTGGGACAGATTTGTTCATAAATGAAATCATAGTTTCAAAGAAGTTTCTTGTTTTTAATACGGTTCTGAAATAAGAACAAGAACAAATTGGAAATAAGTCCATGAGCATTGAGCCCATCTTTACTTTTTTTTTAGTTTACAGGCAGAATGTTGACCCCCTGGTTCTATTCAGAGTAGCAACGTCTCTGTTATTCTATAACTTTCCATCTGTGAAAGTGAGTCAAAGCGGACCTGAATTGGACTCATATCAGCTAACAGCGTCTAAAGATTTGGACATATTTTCAAACCTCTTTAAAGATCCAAAACATTGTTTTTATTGAAAGCAAGCAGAAGGATCCCACCATCACAGAACATCAGCGACTTTCAATGACAACATTAAAAACAGAACCTATAGAATGACAGAGCTGTGTTTTATCGCTACCAGCTGCTCATCCTAAGCAACATGCCGGGACGACAAGCTGGTTTTAACTTGATGCTGCTGCTACAGCTGATCGCCTCTAAAGCTGTGCTAGAAGAACATTCATGAATAAGAAAATAAACCGGGCTTCTATAGAACGACCCGACTATACAACACAGACAATGATGCATAGAAAGATCATAGAGCAGGAGAACAGCACTGAACAGGAGAGGACCGTTTCCATTCAACCAACTGGCATCTATTTCCTGTGGATCATCATGGTTCCCCTTTAAACATAAAGTGGTGCAAGAATCTGGATTTAATCCTGACTTCATTAAGTCCCTTTCTGAACCAAACCACATGTATCTGACTTCATGTTAAGCCTCGTCTCCAGTGAACCTTTTTACTAAGAAAGGGATAAAAATCCAGATGATTTGAACCTTCAGCAGCTGTTAGATCAGGGGTCTGCAACCTTTAAAATCTAAAGAGCCATTTTCACCCTGGCAAGTAAAAGGCATTTAGAGCCACAAATAATAAATAACCTTTAGATAAAACACATTATTTTGGATAATGTCTGCTATATGTGGAAGTATGGAAGCATAATGACCTAGAAAACAAACAAACAAAATTGGTCTGTTTTTCTGATTAGATCATTTTTACAAAAATAAAAATGTTTGTTTTTCTAAATTAAAGACACAATTTAAAGTAAACAAATACAAAAAATTCAGTTTTTGTGAATTAACGACAATGCTGCTGTGGTTTCATAATGGATGTTCCACTACTGTTGGTTTTCATGTTTACAGATTAATTACCTTATGTATTACCTTAGGTTATGTTATAGGAGAGTCTGTGTGTATCTGTGCACAGGATAATTTGAAAAGTTTATAAAAAAAAATGTTATCAGGGGTGCACCTCAAGAAACAATACAAAAAATATTGGTTATGATCCAGATCATAATCTGGATACAGAAAGATTCTCTAACAATGTGAGATATGAATATTTGCCGGAACAAGCAGTTCCCCACTAAACCACAGGGTGGCAGCAGTGAGTATTGACAGCCTCAACATCAGACTCAAAAAGTTGGAAGATAAAAACACAAGAAAAGGGAAAATTGTTGGCTTGTTATCAGCATCTATTGAAACAACAGATTTTAAGGACATTTGTTTTTTTTTACCAGAGTTCAGCCTCATGCCATGGAACAATTCTTTAAATTTGGTAATGATCCAAATTGTGTGCTGGTTTTAGCTATAAGTGTCACAATTTGGGGCTAAATGTTCTCTTCATTCTATCATAATTCAGAAAAACATCAATTTTGTTTTTTCTGTTGCCATTTTAAACAACAAACAGGTTATTTTTATTTTCAGAAAGATGAAGCATGAATTTTTGCATATAGGTTTATCAGATGTAGAAACATAAATAGCAAGTTAATGAAAAGAAAAAAGAAAACATATTTCTAATAATCCATATTTCTTATATGAAAATTAAATCAAATTTAAAAGGCTACTGCATTATTTGGTTCTTTATATCATTTTAATAAACTATTTAGGGCCATTTTGGGGAGTACAAAGAGCTGCAGGTTGCAGACCCCTGCATCAGATTGACCTGCAGAAAATATTTTCTTTTATTTCAACCGTTGAGATTTTCAGCCCAAAGTCAAACAGCTGAGATCGTAATGAACCGTGCAGGATGTTCGATTAACCAAGATAAGAAGGTCCAGAGGAATGAAAAGAGTTTTCAGAGGAACCATCTTCTTCAGGAATTTCCTCCCATTTGGAGCATCTCCTGGAGCTCTCGGTTCTGAGCCTTACTGAGATCCACCGGACCTTTCAGGACATCAATGGACCCGTCTCCAGACGAGCCCCGGGTGGAGCGAGTCAGAACCAACCTTCTAAAGCTGCTAAACTAAAGCATGTGATGTCACACATTTCAATAATAAGAATAAATAACATTCTCCTGTAAAAAGAGATGGAAATAATGTCCAGCAGATGTTGGACATGTGGACACCGGTTCCAGCACCTGATGTGGTCCGGTCTGGGTGGGTCCAGTGTCCTGGAGCGGACCGTGTCTCTGTTCCTGTGGGTGTGAGCGTCTCAGTGGGGTTCTTGGCACTTTGGTTGATGGACAGCAGGGAGGAACCTTCTAGATCCTACCAGGCCAGAGGAGAAGACAGTCGAGGGCTTCGTGGGTTTTCAGTCGTCTGGGTCTCACTGAGCGCTCTCTGAAAGACAGAACCAGAACCTCAGCCGGATTATCAGGCTTGTTTTTGATTATTTATCTGATGGAGACCCAATTATTTTACAGCTGCAGGCAGTTTGTCTGGTTCTAAAAAGCCTCCCAGCTATTTTGGGCTGAAGCTGTCAAACATTTGCTGAAGATGCAACCAGTCCTAATAAAGCCCGGCTTATTGTAGGTGCACAGCGGAGCGGGACGGTAGGCTCACCTCAAACTTGGCCATGAATTCTGCAAAGATGCCGAAGAAGGCGTCTGTGCTGGTGGACTTGCTGTCCTCTCCGAAGTAGGAGGCCACCTTGGAGAACTCCTCCATGGCTCGGGACTGCAGGGACTCCAGAGACTGGATGGCAGGATGACTGTTCTCCAGAAAACTCTGTGGAAGGAAGAAGTTTCAGCTCTCTGATCACATTATAAAGGTCCGGTTTAAAGTGCCTCCTTTAAGTAACTCTGGTGCTTCTGGTGTGTTTTTAGTTTCAGTTCAGAACCCTGTCTTTGGTTTCTGTTTTTTGGTGAATGTTATATTGAATAGTTTGGCTTACACTCATAACAGAAGCAAAGTGGTCCTCAGCTGTTGCTGGGATCTTCTGGCAGGCTGTGCGAATGTCCTGGACTGTAGTGTGAAGGTCATTCAGCTCTGTGGTGATCGCTCTCTGGTTCACTGGACCGGAAAACAACAGCAGCAGCGGTTTAGCAAAGGAAAACCAGTAAGATGAATGTTTCTATGGAGAAAAGGTTTCCTGAGTACCTTTAGCCGCCAGGGGAACTGTCAGCAGGTCTGCAGGGAAGTTCAGCAGCTCAGGAAAGTGTTGGCACAAAGACTTGGCCAGAATGTGAAGGAAGGTGGACTTTCCATCCACCGTCTTCGTGGTGCTTAGCTGCGAAAATGAAGAGAGGAAATGTGTGAAAGTGGGAACAGAGAAGAAGCGAGCAGGTTGAGAGGAGAGCTTCCAGGCCGCACCTCAGTGAGGAAGTTAATCTTGAAGCTGGTCGTCCTGTGGCTCTTAGGCTGGCCGTTGTTCAGGTAATTTCCCATCGCCAGAACAAACTGTGGGCATAGAGGAGGCAGAAAAACATTCAGCACCACCAGAACTGCTCAGGCCGACCCAGACCGGTGAGCCTGAAGACTCACCTCCAGGATTTTAGCCAGCTTCTTGCTGCTCTTCAGCTCCACTGAGGCCTTGTAGATGTAGTCAAAGGCCACCTTCATCTCCTCCGTCCTCTCCTGCAGCGTGGTCTTAAAGTGGAGGCTGCGCAAGCGGGTCTTATACTCCGGAACCATCAACATCTGAAACAAACAAACCCTGTTATTCACAGACGGACTTCTCCTCTGTGGTCCAAACGGGCTCATTGCAGCTACCTGGAAGATGAACTGGTCTGGCTCGCTGAGTTTGGCCGGGTCCTGCTCGAAGCGCTCGTACTGCTTGACCTCTTCCTCGTCGGGGGCGTAGAGCAGCAGCTGCTTGATGTGGGCCGGCTCCAGCCGGTCTGTGTTCAGGTTCATCAGAACCTGGCGCAGCTCCTCAGGGGACAGCTTCAGATGTGCAATGAGTATGGCTGCAGGGAGGGGGGAGTGGGATTTATCTCTGTGGTTCTGCTCTGCTGACATAACATCTCTGATGGAACCTCCTATTAATGTTCCTGCAGCTTCTGGTTAGAAAATCTTACATTCTGATTGGCTGCAGCAGGTTGATCTATGGTTAACAGACTGACTCTCCATTTAGTTCCTTTAACACTGTCATGAGATAACCAGGCTTTCTATTTCAAGCATAAACGTCCAAACCTGCAGTAAAAACTTGGTTCCTTCACCGTTTCTATCATAGAATCTGGTTCTGTGACGGGAAAAATTATTTTCCACTCAATTCCTGTTAGGCCTCTAGTTAGGGAGCTTGTTTTGTTTATTTTTTTGCACAAAGTGCTGCTTATTCTCTGTCTAAAAGCTATACAGAAGACACACACTCTATGTATACAAAATGACAATAAAAGTTGTCTAAGTCTAAAGAAAAAAGTGTTTGCTGAAGCAGAACACCTGCTAGACAAGGCTGGATGTGAGTCTTATCTTGGCTGATGCCTCAGAATGTTCTTTTAAAGGTTTTGGAATAGAGGCCAGACTCTTTTACATTTAAGGTTTATTCAACATTTTACTCCTTTAAATTGTTTTGATCAACTGTATGTGGAGACCTTCACAGCTCTTTGCAGACTTTAACTTAGTTAGAAAAACCTTGTCTAGAGGAGAACCGGCAGAAACATTGGAAAAGACCATAAGTTCCTTGTTGCATCTATCTGTTCTGTTAAAATAAAGAGTTGCTTTAGTGGCGCAGTGGTTAGCACCAACGAATAGTACTTGATGTGTCCTTTCACACCCCCTCTCTCACCCCGTGCCGTAAAAACCTAAAAATTTCCCCGCCTCAATTTTTAAATCCATTTTAAATATACCTTCAGATTTCAGCTACACCTCCATCAGTTTGCAAAGTCTTTCCCAGTGACAGACAGAGGGTCACTCCTGCTCAGCTACAGCAGGAGTCGTTTAACCGCATTTTAGGACGTTTAGAATAAGATTCCACCTTCATGAAGCTCCAGGTTTACTGGAAAACAGGAGATGCAGTGAAATGTGTCAGAAAGCTAAATAAAACAAATTAACATCACCACAGAACAAGCTGCTGGATAAAAACAAGATGAGCAGATAGAGATGAAGAGTCAGGAAATTTCAGGTATTTTAAGGCTCCCATGTTTTCAGGCAGTGTTGGACCAGGACTCAACATTAAATGAATCATTGGAAAGAAAATTATTGGGGAATGGTTTTATATCTGCTCCGATTTGGGCAGATGAACACGGTTTCAGTCGTTTTACGCTCCTGCTTCAGTCTGCCTGTAGGTCCCTACTCTTTAAATGGTGTTTTTGATAACACCAAATCTCTGAAATTGTTTTTTGAAGCTCTATGTGGTTTATTTTTTATTTAAGAGCAACGATCAATCAGAACATCATGACTGATGCATCAGAAGAGCTTTTAGGAATATTGGGATTCGTTTTCAGATCCTATCTGGAGCACAATATGAAGCAAAAACTACTTTAATCAGACTAGATCCGAGGTTCCTCAAGGCTCCGTTCTTGAGTCGGTTTTAATTATCATTAGAAGACCAAAACATGGAGTACTAAAGAGTCTCTAACAGATTCTAACGACACTCCTTCTGTCCCCATTCATACAATCTAACAGTTTGTAAAGCTACAACATATGATGCCTTTCAAAATAAAACCTTTTCCCACCAAACTAACATGAAATCTCCCCAAAAATCACTTATTTAGAAATAAAAAAAAACAGAAAAACATTTCTGGTTTGCTCTTAGCTTTTAAGCGTTTCTTTCCTAACTGATCAGTGAAGGTTCTTCGAAGTGGGAGGTGTTCTTACAGGCGTTGTAGGCCTTCTTATGGGACAGTATCTCCACCACGTCTTTCTTCTTGAGGTTCTCTGGCAGGAAGGCTGGTTCTGGAGGAGAAACTGATCATTTTAACAAACGTGTCAATATTTGTTCTCCAGGCACCAGGGGGTGTGAAATGATGAGGATGATGATGCAGCTTTGTCCACTGAATGGTTTTCAAACAGGACTCTGCTTTTTACAGAGCTAATATGATGCAGAGGTTTTCAGACCCTTAGAACTAGCAGCTATATGATCTGGATCAGGAACCAGAATGTTTCCTTTTTCTTACAGAAATATCAGTGCTGATTTGCACTCAGTGACTCTGTAGAACTAAAACAACAAACACTTTCTACCTCACCTGAAAAAAACAAAAACTTAGTCTTACTTAATAGTCTTACTTTGAAGGGTCATGAAAACCTGAGCAAAGCAGAGCCGCAGACAGCTGACCTAACAGACGGAGGATGGGTGATGGTGCCGTATGGAGAATGGTTGCACAGGAGCAGAAAACATCCCGACTGGGAACAGACTTCAGTAAGCAGAGATAATGATCAACAATCAAATGAAAAATACATTAAAACATGATTATTAATGACTGGCAGCCATGATGTAATGTTTGAAGTTAGACGGTGGCAGGGAGCATCACTCACTGGGTCGGCGCTGAGCTCCAAAGTGCAGGTCCAGGTCTAAGTACTTCACCATGTCACTCAGCTTGTCATAGTCGGAATCTTCTCTCAGCTGTAAGCAAACCAGGACAGACTCGTTAGCGTCCACCATTCCTGTTTGTTTGGTGTTGCTGTGACTCATGAGAGACAGACGAAGCTTTGTCCTCCGTCGTAGGAGGGAGAAACGCTGCAGCCAACCTGGGAAGATTCACAGCTTTCTTTCTGCTGGAGTCGTGTTTGTTGTGTGAGCGCCGAGCGACGCCAGCGAACAACCGATCAGAGCTCACCTGACCCCAGATGGTTCCCTCTGAGTTCTCCACCTGCTCCCAGCGCAGCCTCTTCACACTCATGTGGTTGGTGTCAGACGCCTGCTGGCCCGGTTTGGGCAGAGGAGGTGGGTCGCAAGGTGGAGGCAGTGGTGGAGGAGGAGGAGGTGGAGCCTTTAAAAAGAGGAAATTAGCAAATCATTTCAGGATTGATTTTTTAAAATTATTAGTATTTTATTTTTATTATTGGAAACTGACTTCTTTAATCAGTGTGATTAAAGACAAATACCGAAACCTGAGGAAGTTTTCTGACCTTTATACACCATTATACACCAGCATAATGAAAAAAATAATTCAGTTCAGTCCGTTTCTCTAAAAATAAGTTGATCCTCTCTTGATTTGAGCATGAAAGTAAGAAAATATGCCAATGGAATAAGATTAATTATGTTTAAGAGGAAAAAACTCAATTATTTTATTTCAAGAGCATAATATATAAAGAAAAATTCTAATTCCAGTGAAAATTATCTCCTCTACCTGTTCAAATTAAGAGCAAATTCATTTATTTTAAAACATTTTTACTTTAGTCTTTGCAAAAAATGTAGATCTAAATATTGTGGATCAATAATTTGTAGGAAATATTGCTGGTCAGAGTTAATGGATGATGGCTGAGGGTTATCCTGAATGAAGACCTGGAGAGGACCTGAAATTGGGTTGAGATAGAATGGCCTAGTCAAAGTCCAGGCTGAAATATAATGAGAATCTTTAGTCAGAAATGTCCATGCAGTCTGACAGAGAGGAAGGTAGATTTATAGACAAACCTAATCAGATCAAACCATGAATGCAGAAACACTTCAAATAGACATGAAGGGTTCTGCCTGGTTGCTAAAGAACAAGATGAAGTTCTTGCTTTGATGCCGGGTAATTTCTGTTTTCTGTTGCTAGGAGCTCTGCTGCATCTTCTGAAGGATGAAGGAGAGAAAGACGCATGTGTTACCTGTTGTGACTGGAGTTCCTGTGGTGAGCTCTCGAAGCTGGAGGTGTGAGTGGGGAGGGAGGAGTGGGAGGCGGGAGGCTGGGACAGCACCGAGGAGCTTTGGTTCTGGGCTGGGCTGGGGTCCTGCAGGGATGCTGGGAGGGGACCCTGGTAGCTGTGCTGGTGGTGGAGCTGGTGGTGCCTGTGCAGGACCAGCTGGCTCGGCCTCAGCGGCTGGGGGGACGGCTGGCGGACGGGTTGGGGCTGGCTCAGCTGACGGGGGAGGTAGCTGGCGCGAGACGGCTGGGAGGACCGCAGAGTCGAGAAGTTCAGCGGGGCAATGCCCTGCGTGAACCTAGTGGATGAGGCTCTGAAGCGCTGCCGAGCTTTCTCCACCTCCTCTCTGCTGGGTTTGTGCAGAGGTGAGCGGCTGGACAGGAGGGTCCTGGGAGGAGGCGGGGGTGGAGGGATGATGGGGTGATGCGGCTGGAAGGGCATCCGGCTGCGGGGGACGTGCTCCGGAGAGAAACGCACGGGGGGCAGAGGGTCGGTGAACTGGACAGGAGGAGGTATAAGAGCCTGGAAAGGAGGAGGGGGCGGAGGGCTCTGGTCGGGAGGCGGTGGGATCGGTTCAGAACCAGAGGAGTAGGTGGGAGAGGAGGCCTCATCGCTGCTGCAGTGCTCCTCGCTGCTGCCGCTGCTGAGGTGGCGGGAAAGGAAGTCCTGGTCGTCTGGGAAACTCATCTGGAGGAAGATGGAGGGCGTTTATAATTAATGCAGTTTAACAATTAGCTGCGACCTGAACTTTAAAAGGCAGGAAGTATAAACGTATAAGTGGAGCAAAAACTGAGCAGAGGGCTCAGAGGGTGTGAATACTTCTGGGATCATGATGCTGCATGAAAAAGCTGTAAAGCACTCAAACAAAAATCTTTGTTCTTTTTCCATTTTTAAACCAAATATAACCGACTCTGATCAGGCATAACATTATGACCCCCTTTGATGCAGGAATCTCTTTTCTCCTCATCCATCAGGGGTCATCTCTGCAGCCCCAAACGCCTGTAACACGTGGAGGTCATATTGTTGTGCCTGTTCGCTGCAGATGCAGATGTGATGTGGAGCCTGAAGCTTGCAGATATAATTAGCTTCTACTGAGTAACGAGTTTTACTCACAGGTGCAGTTCTTCTTCTGAAACCATGACGACCAACGTCATCAATCTGTTTGTGTGACACAAGCGTTGGTTGGAGCAAATATCAGAGCTGCTCAGAGCTCAGAGGTCATGTGTTTTTTTTAACGCAAAGTTTGTAAAGTTTAAAGCTAAATGTTTTATAGTCGTCCGTAAAGGACGGATTCATTTCATTTCAAATATGTTTTTTTACTAAAACTGGTAATAAAGAGAAGAAGTAGTCCTCCTCACCTCTTCATAGTCGTTCTCGCCGGGCACAAAGTCGTCGACCAGAGTGACCCGGTGGCCCAGCTGCTCGCTCAGGGCGTCTAGGAACTTGTCTGTATCTCGGCTCCGAGGCGGGCGAGAGAAGGTGAACAGCTTCTTGCCGCGGGTCAGGGTGTTGGGACCGCTGTCCGGGTGCGGAGGGGAGGCAGGGGGGCTCTCCAGGCTGACATAGGGGTTGGACTCCACGCTGCTCTGGTGCTGGATCTCATACACAGTGGTGGGAAGAGGCTCCTTCCAGGAGAGGGATAGGCCGGACTTTCTGTTGCCTAAATGGATGGAAATCGGGGGAAAAAAACAACAACATCAGAGCTTCTGTGATTAAAACACATCCTCCTGTTTCTACCAGCTGTTAATTTCTCCATTATGTTATTATGGGGAGTTTTTCCATGAGGTAACCTTGGCAACAAAGAGGTCCTTTGCCGTCATATATGCAGGAGTAAACTGCAGCATTTGAATGTGTTTGGGCTCCAACGCATTCAAACATCAGTGGCTGTCACGTCATGATGGAGAAGAACCTGTTTCTATTTGTCTGCATGAACCAAAGAGTCAGATCTTCTCTCACATAACGAGATCATGACATCATTCATCTGCCATCAGGGCCAACATCCATATCCTTTAATCATATATATATGTTTTTTTTGTCCAATTGTATCATTTAAACAATTAGACCCTGGTGGTGAATGAGCTGAAACCACTGATGGAAGCATGTATCTGAGTGTTTATGTCTGTGTGTGTGAGCGATACCTGTGAGAGGGGGCAGCGTGAGGGGGGAGAGAGAGCGGCCGTAGGCCTCAGTCTGTCCCACCACCTCAGGCTCTGCGGGGGAGACGCTCTTCCCTGTGTACATGTTCTCCAGCTCCGTGTACACACCTGTCATCTAAGGGGGGGGTGAAGGCATGATCAGCTGATTAGCACACAGTCGCTGCCGCACGTTTGCTCTGAAGGTTTGGAGCGCTCAGATGCTGAACTGTAAACCTCCAGATAAACCGAGAGCTACAGACTTATTGGCAGCCTTGGTAACGATGTGAACAAATCTTAGAATAAATTCATCTTCAAAGGCAGAAGGACAGCTTTGGATAAATGTTTCTGCCACATGGGGAAACATAAAAACGTTGCTGCATTTCCATTACAAATGTGCAAAAAACTATATTAATATTTTGGTAATTCTGAAAATGTCAATTAAAATAGCGCATTAATACGTTTATTCAAGCGATATCTCTTGAGTATAACACGACAGTGGTGAATGTTAACACTCCTGCACGACCGTGCTGATCAGCTGTCTCCAGTGTTAAAAGACATCTTCAACACCTCACTGGCGACATGTCACAGGCCAACCTGCTTCAAATCCTCCTCTAGTATCCCTGTTTCCAATAAGCCAAGGTCCACAGGACTTAATGACTTTACAACCGTTGCCCTGACCTCTTTGGTTATGAAGTCCTTTGAGCTCCTTGTGCTTTGACACCTGTCTGACAGGAAGCAGCACATGAAGCTGGGAAAACATGTCTCTGATTCCCAGCTCATCAGCACTGGTTCCCTCCAGGGCTGTGTTCTTTCTCCTCTGATCTTCTCCCTTATACATCAACAGCTGCACCTCCAGTCAAGTCCTGTCAAGCTTGTGACATTAACGGACGACACCGCTCTCATTTGACCTATCTCTGATGGTGAAGAGTCCGCCTACAGGTGAGAGGTTCACCATCTGGCTACCTGGAGCGGGGAGAAGAACCTGGAGCAGACCGCTCTAAAAACAGTGGAGATGGTTGTGGATTAAGGGAAGAACTCAGCCCCAGTTCTCCCCATCACCCTCTGTGGCTCCACAATTGACAGTGTGGAGTCTTTCCGCTTCCTGGGAACTATCATCTCACAGGAGCTGAACATCAACTCCCTCACCAAGAAAGCCCAGCAGAGGGTGTACTTCCTGTGGCAGCTGAAAAAAATTATTAATCCTCCATCATGGAGTCCATCCCTATCTCCTCCATCACCATCTGGTACACTGCTGCCACAGCCAAGGACAAGGGCAGACTGCAGCGTGTCATCCAGTCTGCAGAGAAGGTGATTGGCTGCAATCTTCCAACTCTTCAGGATCTGTACGCCTCCAGGACTCTGAGGCGTGCAGGGAGGACTGTGGATGATCCCTCGCACCGCAGCCACAAACTATTTCAGACACTTCC